GTTGGCTGAAGCCTCACATGTACTTCAGTATAAAACAGCAAATAATTGATAATAAAACTAAGAATAAGTTGATTAAATAAAGAACAGAGATTTAAGTGATACTAAGGAAGAGAAAAACAGACAGGTATGGTTACAAACAAAACAAAACATGATTTCTAGGGAATAAATCTTAATTTTAGCAAGTTACAGCGTTTGCCTAAGTAGTTTAGGGTATGTCTACATTACCACCCTAGGTCGAACTAGGGTGGTAATATAGGCAACCGGAGGTGCAAATGAAGCCTGGGATTTGAATTTCCCGGGCTTCATTTGCATAAAACCAGGCGCCGCCATTTTTAAATGTCAGCTACACGCGGCACGGACTAGGTAGTTCGGACTAGGTTTCCTAGTCCGAACTACCGTTACTCCTCGTTTCGAGGAGTAACGATAATTCGGACTAGGAAGCCTAGTCCGAACTACCTAGTCCGTGCCGCGTGTAGCTGACATTTAAAAATGGCGGCGCCTGGTTTTATGCAAATGAAGCCCGGGAAATTCAAATCCCGGGCTTCATTTGCATAAAACCAGGCGCCGCCATTTTTAAATGTCAGCTACACGCGGCACGGACTAGGTAGTTCGGACTAGGTTTCCTAGTCCGAACTACCGTTACTCCTCGTTTCGAGGAGTAACGATAATTCGGACTAGGAAGCCTAGTCCGAACTACCTAGTCCGTGCCGCGTGTAGCTGACATTTAAAAATGGCGGCGCCTGGTTTTATGCAAATGAAGCCCGGGAAATTCAAATCCCGGGCTTCATTTGCATAAAACCAGGCGCCGCCATTTTTAAATGTCAGCTACACGCGGCACGGACTAGGTAGTTCGGACTAGGTTTCCTAGTCCGAACTACCGTTACTCCTCGTTTCGAGGAGTAACGATAATTCGGACTAGGAAGCCTAGTCCGAACTACCTAGTCCGTGCCGCGTGTAGCTGACATTTAAAAATGGCGGCGCCTGGTTTTATGCAAATGAAGCCCGGGAAATTCAAATCCCGGGCTTCATTTGCAACTCCGGTTGCTTACATTACCACCCTAGTTCGAACTAGGGTGGTAGTGTAGATATACCCTTACTTTCTTATATCAAATTACCAGACTCTCCAGCCTTCCTGGCTAGGGAATCTAACTTTGAGGGTGCTGTACCCTATCTTCCCTAAGTTTTTGCTTCCCTTATATTTCCCAAAGTCTGTCGTCTCTGTGGCCTTGTCGTCACTTGCTATGCTGGAGATTGATCTTCTGATGTTTGATTTAACGGGCCTAGTTAAGACCTGCTAAATTGAAAGCTGAGAGCACCCCTGGTTGGTGTCAGTACTCCTTGCTGTTGTGAGGAGTGAGGGAAGCCGATGGGCGCTCCCATCAGCCTCCCTCTATGAAGACAGAGCCAACCTCTGCTTCAGGTAAGCTGACTCCAGCTACGTATTTTACATAGCTGGAGTTGTGTACCTGAAACTGACCTCCAGGTCTAGCATAGACCTGGCTGCTGCCTTAAGTGCTTGGAAGGATTCTTGGGGTACAGCTTCTGTCTCTTGGCATGATCACTAAATTATCTTCTCCACTGCTTGTTAGCTCGATGACATTGCTTACTTTATATATACCTGTATTTTCATTGTTCTTTGCATGTAACCAAGCCAGTCAGACATATGTCTTTGTCTAGGGCAGGCTGGGTTTATACATTGCTTCCTAAACATATTTTAAGAACATATTTCCATCACTCTTTATCCCAGCTCACACACAGGTCATATGCTGATTTTCTAGACTAACATGTCACCAATATACATATATCTTACCTGACATCTTTTATATACATTTTCTGACAGCATGTTGGAGGTAACACGTGTGTCAGGCTTGACATGAATTTCAGTATGGTATGCCCTTTGACAGTGAGAGGCTCCCAAGATCACACATGTCCCTTCTCCCTTCCCTCCCAAAAAGTGTAATGATTGCTGGGAACCCTAAAGGGCTAAGTCAGCTATGGAGGAGTAAGTTGGGATCTGCTCTGGCTTGTACATCAACAGGATTGTTAACTAAGCTCCAACATTCAAGATCTTCACAATGATATATGTATATGTATTATAGTATTAACACAAGAACTCGGGGTTACCAAATGAAATTAATAGGTAGCAGATTTAAAACAAACAAAAGGAAATATTTCTTCACACAACACACAATCAACCTGTGCAACTCCTTGCCAGAGGATGTTGTGATGTCTAGGACTTTAATACAGTTCAAAAAAGAACTAGATGAATTCATAGAGGATAGGTCCATCAGTGACTATTAGCCAGGATGGGCAGGAATAGTGTCCACAGCCTCTGTTTGTCAGAAGCTGGGAATGGACAAAAGGGGATGGATCATTTGATGATTCTCTTTTCTGTTCATTCCGTCTGGGGCACCTGGCATTGGCCACTGACGGATACTGAACAGATAGATCTTTGGTCTGATCCATTATGGCCATTCTTAAGTTCTTATTCCCTGGCAGCCTCAAACAAGGAGAGGGACTCCTCTGTGCTAAGCACTGTACACACAGAAATAGAAAAGACTGCCCTTTCATGAAAGAGCATACAGCAGTGAGATTGTAACCAGGAAGTACACAGCTTGGCTCTCTGACCTCAGGCAATGAATTTACAAAGATGGGTCTTAGGTGAGGAAATCTTATTATTTGTATTCTAAACAGAATGCAATATGACGTCACAGAGGCCTTAACTATAGAAGCCCACAGTGCCATTTTCACTATCTCTTTTCACAACGAGACCACGTTTTAACTTATTTGGTTTTTAATGGGGGAGGGCATTAAAAGTGGCTCACCAAGTTATCTGAAAAATGTGTATGCATGTGCACACAGTACACCACCAAACAGTATCAAAGGCCTTGAGAGCTCAGCCCAGATTAAAAGCAGTTGTTGCTAGTAACGTTTTTGGCACAGTTCCCATGATCAGTGTGGCGAGGAAATTGCTCCTTTGCCTGCAAACTATGTTAAACTGTACTTTGAAACGGCAGGTGGTCACCCACATCATGGTTTGTGGGGAATCGTTCTCAAGAAAAAGTATCCACCTCCATGCTAGTCAGGGAAACCATAACAGAAAGCTGCTAGCAAGGACTTTTGTTTGATATGGTTCTAGCTAACACATCCCATTCTGTGTGAACAGGTTCTATACCAGGGGTGGGGACCCTTTTTTGGGGTCAGGGGCCACTGACCCACAGAAAAATCAGTTGGGGGCTGCATGTAAGTGAGAAGCAAAAAAACTCAAAACAAACCCTCACTGATGTGGCCCCCAACTGACAAGGAGAAAGACACTTCCCCACATACTCCTTGTATACCAGAGCCTAGAGCAGCAGTTCCCAACTTTTTCCAGCTGGAGACCCATTATGACAAATCAGGAAGACTTGGTGTCCCAGGCAATTCAAAAATGGGGGGAGGAGGGAGACACTTGATGACCCTTCTGAAGTGTAATGGTGACCCATATTTGGGTCCTGACCCATAGGTTGGCAAACCCTGGCCTATAGGGACCCAGCCTAGTAGATTTTGTGTGCTCCAGCCCTGTGGGGATCACCAGGGGGCTGGCGTGCCAGCGCAGGTTTCTCAGTGCTGGGGAGGCCCTGATCCTTGGGGCCAGATCAATTAAGCCAGGGGCCGCATCCGGCCCCTGGGTGTTAGGTTCCCTACCCGGGTCTATCCAGAGCATTGAGGACATTTGTTATTTCCCAAGAAATCTGAATCAGTGTGGCTGACTCCTGCTTAACGGTGATTTCAAATTCACAATGGAACTTAGGCTACTTTATACAGGAGCAAGTAGTGGGTTTTTTATTTCTTTGTTGCACTATTTCATTTAATTGAATTTTATTCTGCAGGGTATATAATAAGAATTTGGATCAATGTAGGGAACGTAGTGATACTGGAAAAAAGGGAATTGCCTAGCCTTTACCAATACATTCTAGTCTCCATCAGGGTTTTATGCTGGGTGTCATATCACCAGCAACAGTGCTTGCTGGAACATTGCATTAGACTGGTGGCTGTGGGACTTGAAAGACAGCAAGGTATGTTTTAAATAACAAATGAATGTCCCTTCTAACTTTGCCATCCTGCATCTGGCGCTCCCTTTGAAGTTTCAAGCATGAGACAGGGTCTAACCCTGTAAGTCTCCTTTAAGGATCAGTATTTCAAAGGAGCAATAACAACTAACCTCACCAGAGGTGAAATCCTTAAGGCGATTACTGTTAAATTAAAAAACAGTAAAGGTAAGTTTAGTTTATATCTTGCTGGTTTCCTTTTAGCTCATTTTCTTTGTTGTTAGGGAACTTAGTATAGTTAGGGTACCTCTACACAGTGGGGCTAAAGTCGAATTGAGCTACACACCTTCAGCTATGTCATTTGCATAACTTAAGTCGAAGTAGCTTAACTCGGCTTTTGGTGTTGTCTACACAGCAGGAAGTGAAAGGAAGAACACTCTCTCTTCGACGTCTCTTACGCCTTGTGAAATGAGGGTGACCATGAGTCAGAGTAAGAAGTCCTCCAGCTCGACGTTATTTTGAAATAAAGGCTTGTAGTGTAGACATGCTCTTTGTTATTTCAGAATAATGTCAGTTATTCCAAAATAACACTGCTGTGTAGATGTACCCTTAGTCACTTAGGGTACATCTACACTGCAGAGGAAGATTGAAGCTGCTGTTGGCAATCTTCCAGGGTTCAAATTAGCGGTTGGGTTAAGACAGCTAATGCAAATTGAGAGGGATGCTCCTGTCGATTCTGGTAACCCTCATTTCACGACGAGTAAGGGAAGTCGAAGGAAGAGTGTTTTTCCTTCGACATCCTGCTGTGTAGACAACGCCAAAAGCCAAGTTAAGCTACTTTGACTTCAGCTATGCAGTTAATGTAGCTGAAGTTGCATAGCTTAATTCGACTTTGTCCCACCGTGAAAACGTGCCCTCTGTTGCCCTGATTTTTTGGGAGCAAACATAACATTTTCCCTCCCGTTTTTCTAGGCTTCTTGAAGTCCATTCACCTGATGCCAAGCACACCGTGGTTCTAAGGAGTAAGGATTCAGCCACAGCCCAAGCTTGGTTCAATGCGATCCACTCCAGTGTTAGTGATCTTATTCCCAGGGTGATTGCAGAGGTGAAAGATCAACTGGGTAAAACTGGGATTGCTGGAAGTCGCGAGATTAGGCATCTAGGCTGGCTTGCAGAAAAGGTAATGAATGTATCTTCTTTTTCTTTTCCAAGCTTTCTGTGTATCTGTAAGAAGAGGCTGAACCAGATATTTGTGACCTTTGTGCCTGCTGTGACCTGTGGTATCTTATCTAACTCAGTGTTCCCAGACTCTCTGCTTTGGCCTACCATTTAGTAACCAGATCCTCTGAGGGACCTGCCTCCCATTCCAACCTTTCTGTCTCCCACTGCTTGGATCTCAATGTAAACCTCCGCATTCACCATGAAGGCCTTTGGTGGTCCATGGGCCAGAGTTTGAGAACCATTGATGTAGTCGGAAGAAAATCCAGGCATGCACAGGAATAGTCTAACATTATTTCCGTGCCAGAAATCCAGACATCTGCTTTACATTCTAACAGCTTGTGGGCTCTGACTGGTTCCACTCACAGTGCTGGGATACAGTTTACCGTGTCCTTAAAAGACACACAGTTTCCGCCGAAGCACATGTGGTGTATTACTTCTTCGAAATTTTCAAAGTCTCAGAGGGGTAGCTGTGTTAGTCTGTAACTTTAAAAACAACAAATAGTCCTGTAGCACCGTAGAGACTAACAAAAATAAATATATATGGTATTGTGAGCTTTCATGGGCAAAACCCATTTCCTCAGATGAGCAGTGTGGAGAGAAAAGGGAAAACAGAAAAAAAAAAGGAGAAGGGGAAAAAGTATCTCTCAGTTGTAGTGCCAGTGCTAATGAGGCTGATTGAGTTGGCTGGGAAGTGTCCCATGCATAGCTTTTGATGTCAGTTGGGAGTTGAATGTAAAACCTGCTTTCCTTACATTCAGCACAGGTACTTTTCCTCCTTCCCTTCTTTTTCTGTTATAAATTATAAATCCTCATTAATGTTAATTTTAACATTGAAATGTACAGGTAGCAGCTCTGGGCTCCTCAGAGAAGCCTTTCTTTTCCCCACTCATTTTTATAAGATCTTAGAACACAGAATATGATAGGCTAATCCTTGTTTCCAAATTATCTCTCAGAAGTAGAGGCAAACTCCCAATAGTTACTGAGTGGCTATGTCTATACTGCACCCGTTTTGCGCAAGAAACATGCAAATGAGGCTAAGCGTGGAATATTGCTGAACCTCATTTACATAATGAATTAGTGCCAGCTTTTTGTGCAAGAGGCTTTTGCGCAAGAGCCGTTCTTCTGGAAAAAAATGCGGAAGAACAGTTCTTCCGCAAGAGGGGGGTTTTGTGCAAAAAGCGGGCACTCCTTAATTATGCAAATGAAACTTGGCGATATTCCACACTTAGCCTTATTTGCATATTTCTTACGCAAAACGTGCAGTATAGATATAGCCAAGCATGAAAAGTTTAATGACATCTCTGAGTATGTAGCCCTTGTTTGAAGGCATGCACGTATATATGCTAAGGTGGTATTTTTTGGAACAGGAGTTTGTCTCTGAACCCTAGGTGAATGTAGCTGTTCTGTATTAAATTTATATAGAGGTAGGCCTAAAGTAATCATGCGTGTTAAAGATAAGCAGGTTAAAAGGTCACTTCAAAGCACTGTATCTTGCATGTTCCCAGAGCACTTTGCAGAATGCCGTTCCTTATTTAAAGGTTTGTGATTAACATCATCACATTGTAGGATTAAAATAAAGGGGAGTTGTGAAATTATAAACAGTTCCACTGCAGTACTGCAGGTGTACAGTACAGCAATCTGTGGAAGGACAAGCATTTTAAATAAAGAAGAAGTGAGCTCAATTGCAACATGGGCTCTGGGAGGAGCAGCCCTTCAACCCTAAGTCAGGGGTTTTCCTCCAGTTTCAAGTCATCACGCTCTTTGCTTCAGACAAGGACAATCCATGACCCCATCAGTCACTAATTTCTGCAGTTTGTCTCCTTGAAGAGACTGAATAGGTTATCAGTCAGGCTTCGTCTACACTGCAGGGTTTTTGCGCAAGAAGCCTTTTGCGGAAGGGTTCTAGTGCAAAAACTTCTTGCACAAAACCTCATCCAGACCTCAAAGCGCATTGCAAAAGTGATGAGCTTTTGCTCAAGAGAGTGTCCACACTGCATGGACACTCTTACGCAAGAAAGCTCTGATGGCCATTCACAGAATGGCTTTTTCCCATAGGGGGTTCTTGCGCAAATTCCTCCCCCCTCCGCCCCTCCCATCCGCCCAGAGCATCCACACTTGCCTTTTTGTACAAGAGCTGTAGCGCAAAAAGGAGTTATTTCTCATGGGGAGAGGAATAGCTCTACCACAAAAAGCCTTCTCTTCTGCCGATTTATTTGTGCAAAAGTACGCTTGAGGTGTGGACGCTCTGCCGTTTTTTGCGCAAAAGTGTCCGTTTTTGCGCAAAAACCTTGTAGTGTAGACGTAGTCTCAGACAGTGGGTCTCTGATCAAAGTGTAGCTTCAAAAAGATGGATTTGTGGATCATTTGTATCCCTCATCTCCAAAAATGTCTTCTAGGAAATCCACTTCACATGTAGTGTACCCAAAATGTCCTTGGAAGTTCCCTATCTCTCTCAGAGAGTGTGTTAATTCTGCCTTCCTCTTAAAGAAATTCTGTATAATCCCACAATCGTACACAACATTCTGCAAATACGATGGTTTCCCCCACAACTTAAACTTAATTTCATAAGGTTTATCTAGGATATTGTCATATCTGTCACATCCATAATTGTGTTTCCTCCACTCAGAATGCTTTTTCCTCTACCACCACAGGGTAAAATGTAGATTCTTCCAGCAGGGTTTAGCACGCATGCCAGAACCTTAGGCTATGTCTATACTGCAAGCCTCTTGCAGAAGAGCAAATGCAAATGGAGCACTTATTCGCATATGCAGCGCTCTCATTTGCGGAAGAGCAAATGCAAACGGAGCGCTTATTTGCATATGCAGTGCTCTCATTTGCATTTCCTCTTCCTTTCCCTTTTGTGCAAGAGGTTTTTGCACAAAAAAAGTGCTGTGTAGACGGCGCCTTTTTGCACAAAAACCTCATGCGCAGAAGGGAAAGGAAGAGGAAATGCAAATGAGAGCGCTGCATATGCGAATGAGTGCTCCATTTGCATTTGCTCTTCCGCTTGCAGTATAGACTTACCCTAGGAACCCATCCCTCTCTAAGGCTAACAAGAGTTCTTGCCTAGTTAGAGCTTTATTGACTAAGACCCTGGTGTAATGTACTGGTACCTGCCAGATGTGCTTAAGATGATGGCCTTTGCATGCAGTCCATAGCTGCAGCTTTTTGATGATGTTTTGGTTCAGACCTGGTGGAACGAGTTGCAATAATCCAGTCTTGCATGTGTCCCTGTTGCTAGGTTTGCACTAGATGGAGATGAGTGATTTTCTTTTCCACTAGCAGTTAGCATAAGTCTCTCAGCTCTTCAAGAGACTGATGTTATTCATTGTATGCAGCTGCCATTCACAGTCTCATGGTCTAAGACATTTTCTATGTTTATGCCAAAAATTCCATCTCCTGATAAAGCAAGAATTGCATGAAAAATGGTTTGGCATAGAAGGGGTTAGTTGGCAAAGAGATTTAGATAGTTACAAAAATCTGAAGATACCATCTCTGGAAGAAGGATATGAGCTTGGGCAAGAGAACATTTATTGTTTTAGCAATCAGATTAAGCAGTGTCACTCAGAAGATGTGAAGTGAGCTCCATCCAAAATGAAGGGGACTGGAAGCTCAATCCTGCTCTGTTAAAGTCAATGGGAGTTTTGCCACTGAAAATTGAATGACAAGAATGTCAGACCCTATGCGGGGAGATAAGGAGACTGGAGAGGCCAGGGTTGCATGTGTATGTGTACATTGGTCCCATCTGTTTGTCAGGGGTCACCTTTTCTTACCTGTGTTCCTGAGTGGTACTCTCATGTCAATCATGCAAGAAAAGTGCTTATGGCAGTCTGATGCAGTGTGGGAAGAACAGAACAGTGGGATATGAGGCAAAATTCAGCTCTGGAGCTATACCATGTGGTATACAGTTTAACAGTTTGTATCTCAGCAAATACTGAACAGAATTTCCTGGGAAAAAGCCTTGCCTGTGGTTAAACCAGCACATCTATACAGCTATGTCAGAAAACAGTGCTTTTAGCAAAATAGCTTATTCTGGTTTGGGAAGCAAAATCAGCTACACCAGCAATCACATTCCATCCTTTCCCCCCTTTCCCCCTCCCTCCCAGCATAAAAGCATCTATACCAGGGCTTTTATTGGCACAGCAAATTCTTTTTAAAAAAATCACACCTCTTATCACCGTATGATTATGGCAAAACTTATAAATGCAGACCCAGCCCAGGAAAATGCTGTTCTACAGCCTGGAGGCATCAGACATCAAAAGCTTCTTGCAAACTACAGAAGTGATTAATACTTCTCAGAGAAGAAGTCTTAAGAATTCTTTATCAGAACATGCATTAGCAACTTAAATGTAAGCATTGCTAGCAGGTCCCTGATAATATTAATAATTTTTTAAATTTAAAAAAAAAAAGGAGAAGCTTCACTGCAGTACTTGGAACATGTTAGCATAACTCCGCCTAGAAGACAGACAGATTATTGTTGTCAAAATCCAGTGGATTGATGTGAGAGGAGAACATTGCTAAATGAGGGAGAGGATAAAGAAAACATCACCTCGCTCTCCAAATGAATTGGAATTACTTCTCATTGCATGATATCTCTAAAACGAAAAGTGTGCTAATATATTCTAGAATGTTCAGACTAATCTGCAGTCAGATAACCATATCATTGTACTGGAATTAAGGTATGTGAGATGTCATTTATTGCAGCTGTCTCTTTCAATATTGGATTGGATATTGCTGTGTTATCTGCTTTCCTGTTTTCTCTTATCCGTTAGAGTGAAGCATAACACTTTGGTTGTGAAACGTGCAAGCTGTCCAAACAAGATTTAGTCATATGTTACAAAATTTGCTTTGAGCCCATTTTTGAACTTCAAATGAAAGCATTCCCATATTCCCATTTGCTTTGCATTTATTTACACTCTGGCTAATGAAACAACCAGGCAGCAGCAGAGTCGAATTTCT